CACAGCTGTCAAGAACTACAACAGCTCAGTAAGGTCTCCATAGATGCCACAGGGTCCTCTGCTCTATCGCTTGAGCTCACAGGTCACCGTGGGCAGGACGCACCGATCTGCTCAGTGCACAGCGTGTTCCTAACGGGAGAGAAAGCTTCTCCTGATGGCAGAGGAAATTCCTGGCTGTCTGATCGGTCGGTGCTCACAAGCTGTGGTCCCAGGCTAACGGCATCCCTGGGCACGCACATCAGAGCCTGCAGGTTTAGAGCTGAGGCAGAGCCATTTCCAAACCATTCCCCTCTTGCGTTGCTTGATCTCGCAAGTCAGAACCCACAGCATTTGTTCCTTGGGATCCTCCAAAACAGGAGAAAGGATGGAATTGTCTTCTCCTGCTGCCCCAAAGCTTCACACGCTGCCTCCTGCTCGTGGTACAACTGGAGGAGCCCTCTCCTCTTTGGATCATTACCAGACAGAGGGAAGCCCTTTGCCGCTGCCTCCTCCCAAGCCCCAGCCTGGCTGTTTTGGAATAGCTCCACTTTCTCGTTATTCCCATCTTAAGGCTACACCATAAATTTCCACAACGTGAAGGCAAAGGGGGAGCAGATTTACAGCATTTCAGCTGCTTTGCGTTAACTGCCTGTGTGAACGCTCTCTGCCTGCACCACGTGCACTGGCCAACGCTGCATCCATCATGGGATGAGAGTACTCGGGCGAGCAGTGACCCTGCAGAGCCACTGTAAAGTCAAATTTTACACTGTAAATCCACACCCTACCCGATGGCAGGGTAATTGGCTCCAGTGGCTGTGCCCGAGGAGAAACTTCTCTACTCCTTTCTCAATGACTTCTCCTTTCCTCTCTGCATGCTGAGGAGAACTGTCACAAACCAGCCGCTGCTGAAGTCTGCATGCCCAGAGGAGGCAGAGGAGATGCACCCCTCCTCTCCCAGTCCGTACAAGGGGCCTTTTCGCACGAAGAACAACAGAAACATGAAATTTTATGTATGTGGGACCACATCTGGCCATAACATCACTGCAGCAACATGTGCTGCACATTCCCCAGCGCCAGCAGAGTTCAACACATTCCCGAGAGCAGCAGCATGACTTCAAGGCCCTGGAATTTGGGAAGCAGGAACGCTGTCTCTTGCTGCGGAGAGGGAGGTGTGGGACTGTTTCTCATTGCTGCCAAGCTCTTCTCGTTTTGCTGCAGAAACTAATTCTGAAGGGAGGAGAAGTGCCCAAGGCCAGTCGTTACAAAAGGCTTTGGAGGAAGTCGAACAGCAAGCCTGGCTCTTGTTTTGGCAATGTCAGATGGAAAAGGTAAAAGAATAAGAGAAAAAGACAGCAAACCACAGCTCTGCATGACCATCTGCTTTTAGTTACTTAAATAAAGTTAAAAGGAAAGCCAGCTACACAGGTACAACCTACATCTGCACCTGACTCTTCTGCCTGCGGGAGACACGATCCTGTCACCTTGTCACACAGGGGCTTGCAGACCCCTAGTGTGGTCCAGCACCCAGAGCTCTCGTAAGGGACAGTAGCTCCTTTTCTCACTTACAGCATTTTAAGGTATTACCTGATCTCCCATCACCCGGACTGACTGGAACAAGCAGCTTTCGAGCCAGGACAGCGAGGAAACCACTTGTGGAGTCGCAGCTCTTCTTACCCCTCCGTTCTCCTTCACAGCACGGCTTCTGCAAGATCCTCACTTGAAGAAAGGAGTCAGGGACTCAAAGCCCCAAGAGGAAGGATGCTGAAATGCCCATGAGATAAAAACAAGGGACTGACCACTCTCTGCTGAGCCCAGGACTGACAGCACTTCGGGTAATTTGTGACCGCACAAGCAAGTAACACATGAGCCATCACCGGCAAAATTATTTTTAGACCTAAGTGATACCTGAAGCCCAAAACCATACACAAATATTTTCATTCACTACTGCCTCAACAGCAGTTTCCTACCTTGGAAAAGCTCAGTTTTATGAGTATTCATTAAGTCATGGCTCTGGTGGAGAAATCAATGACCCCTTAATCAGATTCCGATTTAAATGAAGTGGTGTCTTCCTCACCTTTTTAATTACTCTGTCAAACCCAGCGCGCACACAGCCCTGCCCATGCACACACACGGCTCCGTTAGGCACAACTGGACAAACGCAAAGACAACCTTTGCTCAGTGCAGGTTGTTAAGGTACCGAGTAGTTTGTGAAGTGGAATATTGCAGTTAAATAAGTCAGGAATAAATCGTTCATCAGAGCAGCACAGCAGCTCTGCTCCCTTTATCTCAAAAGGGAAACCGCAGGATTTAAGGGGTCCAAGAACCAGACAAAAAGAGCAATTACAGCATAGAAAAAACATTCAAGTGATGGGAGATTTAAAGGATTTCGATTGTTTAACTAAGAGAAAACAAATAAATGAAGTCATAAGCAAAGTTCACAGAACTACAAGGGGTCTGGAAACAGGAGACCTCCACTCACCTCATTTCTTAAAGCAAGCACAAGAGGGCATTCAGCAAAACCCAGAGGAGACAAATGATGGATGCGATGAGAAGGCAACGCTTTCAACCAACACCCCGCTCAACCGGGGAATTTCTTACCATAATATAATACTGAAACTCAACACCTGACAGGGGTGGAAGTGAGATATACATAAGAATATTCAGAATTCTAGTGTTAAATAAAACCACCTTAAAGTTCACTCAAACCTCTAATAGTTCAAGGGCAGAGAAAACTCTCTCTGGGGTCAGGTTAACCTGCAACTGCTTATGTGAGTCTAGAACCCTTTCAAGCCTGACTGGGAGAAGTGTCCCAAGTGTAGGCACTTCCATCTTCCAACTGATGGGCCAACACAACAGTGAGAAGCCCTGCTCGGAGCCAAGCAGGGAATGAACAAAAACCACTACTTTTGCTGCTCTGCTATCAAATCCCAGCTCTGTAGGGATTCAAAGTGCACCCCGACCAATGCTTTCCCTGGCTCATAACCTTGGATCTTGCTTTTTGTTCCTCTCACTCAGCCCGCCAGGGCCAGCCCCACGCGGTCAGAGGACAAATAACCTCCCAGAGCCCTGGAGGATCCTCGGCTGACACGGAGAACGCAAGGTCAAACCGCTCCTGCCAGCGGCATCGCGGTGACACAATCTGACGTGCATTTCCAAGACGATAAGAGGCAGCAGAACAGGAAACGAGCGTTTTCCCGGCTGGCTGGAGCGGTGACTTGGCACAGAGCCCGTGCCCTACGTATGCACTGACTCAACAGGAAAATATTAAGGGAAGAAAAAAACCCACTTGATTCAACCTTTTTTTTTAAGGGGGCTACCGAGAACGTTCTCCTCCTTCCCCTCTGACTGCCACACGATTTGCCTCCCTCTGCTGATGGGGTTCACCAGGAATTAATTCCTTGATACACAACATAAGCCAGGCAGCATTTCAGGGTCTGCTCTGCAACCCTGCTGCGTTCTCTCTCTGTTACATGAGGCTCAGTCTCCGAACCAGGGATTTTATTTCCAACAACTGTGCAGCAAGAGCACAAGAAACTGCTCCAACACCGCTGACTAATGCCTGCAAGCTACTAACAATCCTGAATAGATATTTCAGCCTCCAATTTCCCACTCCAAAGAATGAGCATTTGCACGTTTTCAAACATGACCACAAGTTTCCAGCTTTCCCACCACGTTTTACCTAGAATGTGTAATATTAAGGTGAAGTGTTCCTTACGTGACCTTATTTGTTTTCACGCATCTCCTACTCTAAAAGGTCAGTCGCAGTTTAATATTTCATCCAAATTAAAGAGGCTGGCAGGACTCAGGCGCTTGCCTTCCTCCAGTGTTGCAATACTTCAAGGCTCTCAGCACCCCTCGCCCGTCCTTGGCTTCTCCAGGCTGGAGAGTTGGGCGGGGAAAAATCTAATGAAATTCCACACAGGCAAGTGTGTAGGGTCTTGCATCTGGGGAAGAACAACCCCATGGACCAGTACAGGTTGGGGACTGAGCTGCCGCGGAGCAGCACAAGGGAAAGGGACCTGGGGGTGTTGGTGGACAGCAGGATGACCATGAGCCAGCAATGAGCCCTCATGGCCAAGAAGGCCAATGGCATCCTGGGGTGTATGAGAAGGGGTGTGGTTGTAGGGCAGAGAGGTTCTCCTTCCCCTCTACTCTGCCCTGGCGAGACCACATCCGGAATATTGTGTCCAGTTCTGGGCCCTCAGTTCAAGGACAGGGAATTGCTTGAAAGGGTCCAGCGCAGGGCCACAGGTCTTCTCACTTTATTCCATTTTCTCAAACAAGTATACATCAAACAAAAGCAAACAAAACATAAGGCTTTCCTCCATCTTGAACCTCAATCCCACTTTCCCCCACCCTCTACCTTTTATCTCCCCCCTTTCTGTGCCTCATTACCTGTCTCTTTTGCCCCTTCCTTTTTTAAGCATCTCCACTCTCACATCAACCCTGTAGAATATTCATCTAATAAAGCCTACAAAAAGACCAATTTATTCCACATATCTTACAAAACTCTGTTTCTCCTTTCTTATTGTAACTCCTATTTATCTCTTCTGTCCTTTTTCTGTAATCAGCCCTCTGCCTCGTTTCTTTTATCAGCGTGCCTTTTTGTAATTCATTTAACTGTCCCGCTCCTTAGGAGAATTACAGAATTGCAGCATCCTGTACAAAACAGCTGGAATGGAAAATCCCTAACAGAGGACATCGGGCACTTTTATGGCATTTAAAAGTGCAGCCTAAGCCAACAGTGAAGCACATTCCTGACCAATGAGTATTTCCTAGCATTTTCCAAGTCGCTTTTAGTTTCTGTTACAGAATCAACAACGAATTGATGCTGAATAAGCTTGAGCGCTACCTGTATAAGCCAAGGCTCAAACCACATAAAGACATTATTCATTAATCAAGTTTCATATGTTGGTCACAGACAAGACAGCTACATCAAATTTTGAGCAGCGAAGCTGAGAATGGGACAAGAGGCAAAGAGGGAGGCGCTGGGGATGCTCTGCTCCGATGCCAGCTCTTACCTGTGAAAGCCCAGGGGACGACGCATGTCCCGGTGGCGTTGCAGCAAGATTTGGGTGTCCCTTATTTATTTCATGTGCAGTGTAAGGGGATGGGGCAGGAGGACCCGGTTGTCTTGCTACTTGTGTTACCTGTGTGGAGATAAACTGTTAGTAAAACATAGTATTAGTAATCCAGTTTGTATAGATACTGTCATCTTCTTTTTAAGAAAGCAACTAGCAGCATCTTTATACATATATATATAAAAAATAATATATTTATCTAAGTGAAATGCTGTACAAGGTAGTTAACTATTATATGACTCAGGATAATGGGGAAGGATCAAAAAATAGGAGCATCAGTTGGAGTCAATGGTGGAAACACCTTGGGACTGGATGAGGTTTGCTGCTGGGGTCCTGCTTTGCAACATCCCTTTGACTTCAGGCCTGGGATCTTCTGATCTTTCTGTTACAAGCCATAGCAAACAATACTGCGGTTTTGCAAAGGGATACACATTAGCAGTGACCCAAAAAACAAAGGAAGGGGAAAACCTGCATACTCCCCTCCAAAAAGGGAGGAAAAGGACTGCACAGGGGCCCTGTTATCTGCAGGACTCGTAACCAGCAAAGAATGAAATACCAGAGCGATTCTTGCATACGCTTATCTCCTTTCTCAGCTTCTAGAGAAAAATACTAATCAAAACACATTAAGCAAAATGTGGTAAAGTATATTTATGGCACATATACTTCCTCCACTGCATTATCTTCATGACAGAATTGCTTTAAATATACTTTATGTAAACGCTATAGTAAAAAAAAAAAAGGAGAATCAAAGGAAAAAGAGGCTCATACAACCATTGGGTGACATCACCCCCTAGGAACTGAATACTATGACATATTTGCAGATTTGCTTAAAGCTCATGGTATGGAAGTCCAGCGCTCACTTCCCACTGACCTTTCCTCAGACCTATATTTTCCGTGCTGAAAAGCACCGCTTAGCTATAGGCACTTAAAAGCACAAAACCAGGCACTGCTTAGAAGGAGACGCTGTCACTGCATAGGTAGATGTGTGTGTGTTTATATATATTTATTGCACTGGAAAAGAAGGCAGAAGGAAATTCCTGGCTCCATGAAGCATTAGCACCAAGCTCCAAGAGAGCAAAGTACGAGAGCAGAAGTCAGAGTTCATGCCTAAATGCTTTTTCCAAGTCCTTTTCTTGCAGCCCAAGCACCGGTGCCTGCCGTTCTGTTACCTAAACCACTAAACCAGCTGCACCAGCAGCGAGGATGAGGCCGTGCCATTGCTCAAGACCTGGGACTGGTCCAGAACCGTTCGCTGCAGGAAGATTTACAGCACCCCTGTGCCCATCAGAGAAAAGGGTGGGTCAGGCCAGACAACCTCATCCTCTGTCCCCAGCTGGATCCTTTCCTTCCCCAGGGGAAAATAATCTCTTTTTTTTGGCTGGTCCAGATTGGCACAGCCTCAGTTGGCTGAAATGAAACCAGCGTTACAGAGAGCATCGTGAAACTTTCCACATCCCACCCCCAAGAAAATCAAAGTCTCCTAAATGACTCCTAAGACAACTTTGAAGGACTTGTCACGTCCATCGTGTGGAAGTCTGTGTTTAGAAGTGGCTACATATCGTGATGGATACCAAAAAAAATGCAGTGAAGGGAGGGAGAAAGCAGCAAAGGCAACACGAAACACAAGGAGCTCATTCACACAAGCAGCCCCATCGCCCGGCTGAGTGCGCACTCATCACCACGACGTCTCCTTCAACATCGCTTCTTGTGGGGATAAAGAGGTTACTTTGCAATAGCTGCGGTACTTCAGACACTGCCAGCTTTGATCTCCCTGCACTCACAAGTGCACACACCACTGCAGCAAAGCCTGGGCCACCCGAAATCCTCTGATCTCCAACATCATCCAAGTCCACACCAACGCCTGACAAGGGGACAGGAACACTAATCACGTCCCAGGTTAGCGTCAGCATTCAGGAGTCCTGCAGAGATTAAAACATGCAAATAACCTGCATTGGGGGTTAATTAAAGACCACCAGGAATGCTGTTCTGAGCTGGGGATGAAATTTGGAAGCTCAGCTGAAAGGAAAGCTGTGTCGCTGCTCCAACGACAGCCCATGAGACTCCCTCGTGCAATGCAGCAGACAAGACACATTACGGACACAGGACCTACTGAAATTCGCTTGAAAGCCTAATTTAAGGCAACAGATGGATCATAAAATCCTACCAGCTTGGTGCTTTGGCAACCACACACTTGGACAGCGTCTGATGGGAGTCCACCACCGACCGGACAGGACCTCCTACAACCACTCACGTCCAGTTTAGGGGGACCCACAAAAAACCATGGGCTGCTCTTCCAGCACAGGCAAAAGCACTGAGTGCCTGGCACACGGCTACAAGGGTATTTCTACACCTTCCTCTGGGCTCCTACAACAACTTATAAAGAAATGGAAGTGCAAGATACAGAGTTGACTGTTTACAGCTGATAAAGACAGACAAACTTGCTGAGTTTGTGTGTTTGTTCAGTGATTTTTTTAAAAAATCAACCTAGGACAGACTACAGGAGCTCATCACCTCTGTCCTGGGGTGACTGTCCCACAGTGCCTGGTTTGCTGTTTATTAAAGGGGATTCTTCAGAGCATGAACTTGGTCCAAGATTACCGAGGAAGCAAATATCCTTCTGAAACCCAGAGATTAAATCAACCTTCTAAAAAAATAGATAGCTAAAATTACATATTAATTTGCTAGGGCATCACTTTCCCTTTTCTTTAATTGAGTAGCAAGAGGCTATCAACAACTTTAATTTCCCAGAAGTGTTAATTCTGTGTTTTGAAGGAAACTAGGAATGAAACATGAAACAAAACCTCAGGCTGGAATTCTCCCCTTCCCTTTTGAGTTCAAACCTCTTGTTTTTAGCATCTTTCATAAATCTTGGGTTATTCTTCCCCCTCCAAGCACCTAATTTCAGATATACAGTCATCTCATGAAGCATTTGGGTTAGATCAGAATGCATGGGACATGCCACAAACACCCCTCAATTATGGGGAATGCCTGGCCACGATACAACAATAATTTATCGTTAAGAGTTTCTCATTAAGACCTGCACTTTCCCTAAACAAAGCCTCTCAGAACAGGGGTTTGGACCTGGACAGAACCTCTTTCTTTTCAGTGTCCAATTTCCTGGCTCGGGCCGGTACAAACAGCTTCAAACAGCCCCCGAGGAACCATGCACCCCTCTCGCATTTTGCAGCCTTCACCACACGGGCAGGGGAACGGAGTCGCCCTCCTGACCCAGATCCCTCCCTGAAACCTGGGGTGGCCACAGCAGCTAATCCGCCCTAATCCCTTTTCTGCAGCATTCTCCTCCTTGGGGAAAGATCCCTTTAAAAGGGCACAAAGGCGAATCACAGACCCGCTTGCTGGCTGTGAAATTATCAGGGGGCCACCAATGGGCACCCCGCTGCAGAAAAGCCACCAAATGAGCACCCAAAGAAGCAAATGATGGAGTCGTGTCATAGTCACTGAAAATTTTGGGCAAGGACGTTCTTCAGCACCTCACTTTCCCCTTACCTTCTCCATCAGATGGCACTGAATTGGGCAACCTGACACGAGGTGGTATCTGCTCCAAAGAGACGCAGTGAGATTGCAGTTAATACCGAAAATTTAAGCCAGCGCTGGATAGAATCATAGATTGGTTTGGGTTGGAACAGACCTTAAAGATCACTTAATCCAACCTCTTACCATGGAGAGGGACACTTCTCACCAGCCCAGGCTGCTCAGCCGGAGCTGCCCAGGCTACAGCAACTGCTCGAGGCTGCACCCAACCAACCTCTCCAACCAGGTACATCCAATTAACACTCTTTTCTAATCAGCTCACATCCAGGAGGCAATGCTGTCCCTTCACTTATAAAAGTTTCTCCCGCAGTAGTTTTGGTCCAAGTTTCTGCACTTGGGATCACAGTGGGTTACCGAGGGAGTTACAAACCTCCACCTTCATCTGCCAAAAAAGGCCATTTGTGCGAGAGCTGGACGCACGTTAACAGTTATTCCCCTTATCTGATTCCCAACTCACGCCTTATGCTGGATTTGAAGGGCACATCTGCTTTTGATCATTACTCCATATTAATTTAGTTTCCAACAGAAATCAGCCCCTGTTACTCCGGGTGCAGGCACACGTGGTGGCCTGGGATATTTAAGGTCACTTCTGGTGCAGCTGCCTTGCTGTTAAAGTCGATGTCTTTCCCTCAAACTCCAAACCAAAAACCTTCTTCTATCTATTACCTTCTCATATCTGACAACAGAAACAAGATTTTCATTTTCCTCCATTCCCTTTTCAAGATTCCCCAGGTTTGGGAACAGTAACAGTAACAGTGTATGCACAAGTAATTGCATTCATTTCTAGCAGTATAAAGAATTAGGAAACACCACACAAGATAAAAGAGGAGCTCACTGAAACAACTTCTTCCAACTGTGATTTGCTTTAAAATAATTCTACTGCTGGATTTATTTATAAAAGAAAATAAAACCAACATTCCAAATATCAGCATTCTGTAGACTCTACTACTATACTGCACTACTGCAAAACAAAGGAAGATGATATATGGTGAGGTGAGGTACTTCTGGTTTTAACACCAGTGTGATTTCATTGATAAAAGAAGTTCTACCAAAGTTTTGTTGGGAATTCTGAGCATCTCCAAGTTCTTATTTCATCGGACAAATCCCACTTTGCCTCTTCCCCACCTCCTATCTCTGCCCTATGGAAAATGTGTTCCTCAGATATTATTTTGGGGGTGATTATTTGGGCTCATAGTGAAAGCCACATGATTTTCCATTCCCAGTTTTGGCAAGCAGCAAATAGTTCTGGAACAAAAAGAGTTCAGGAACTCAGTGCAACTGAAGTCCTGATAACACACGTGGAAAGTTACGGAACGGATAACAACTTATTTTGCATCTTTATCACGCTACAAATAGCAGTTTCATGTGTAGGTTGCCTGTATCTCCAATGATTCGTCCTCCCACCCCATGCATGACATGAGGGAGGCAGCTCAGAGTTGCTATATCTAAAAACAAACTCCAAAAATGACCGATCTGTTGCAAGCCCAGACCTTAAACACACAACGCAGCTACTCGGTAATTAACCACAGAGACCTGTAATGAAGTCATTTGTCCAGGACCTCCGATCATGTGCGTCTCCCATCCTAATTCATATCTTCTAGGACTGGCTCTACATTTGCAATGTGCCGAGGCCTTCAAATAGAAGCCCAAAAGGAACCGAGCTGAGACATTTGTCTCCTTTCCCTAAAACATGAAATTTTCTTTCAGATTTCTTTTTTTTTTAACGCCGAGAAGAGAGACAGCCCCAGCCCTGGCTTCTATTCCTGTAACATATCAAGGAGCGGTATTTTTCCACACTGAAGAAGCTATTTTAGGTCATTCTTCACAGTTACTTTTGTATTTTACATTAATTTAAATTTTTACAGTCATATTTTCCCACAGGCATCTGAATTTTGTCTTTGGAGGAAAGAACTGGAAAAAAATAACCTCCTTTTTTCCCCTCAAAAAAAGGAATTCAGAGATTTTTAAAGTGGTTTTTAAGTTGCTATATGGGGTATATGAAGGGTAATAGACTGAATTATTTATTACAACTGTTTATACATTTATGGTCCCCAAGATGCTCCAGACCCGGACTCCACACATGGAGGAGATGGAGCTGACAACCCCTTCCCCATTTATTCATGCAAACAAGGGGAAGGAGAAAACCTTGCGCAGCAGCTTCTGGTTTTCTCTCAGCAGCTCATGTTACTGCAGAAAACACGGTGACTTTCTCCCATCGACAGCGTTTCTTCCTGTTTTCCAAATAACTAAAAGAGCAGCTTAAAAGCGCTTTTTTGGCATTAAAAATATTTGCACTATCCCACCAGCAAAGCAAAATATTCCTTTCCCAGGGCTGTGCTGATGTAGCAAAGTTTATAAATAACGCTGGGCTTCCAGCTATTGCCGTTTGAAAAGAACTGAATGAAAGGAAAACGCTATCATAAGTTCACAAACAAACACTGCTACCTTTCTAAGTTAAATTTCCTCCATAATCAAGCTTTATAAACAAATTCGTAGGATAGTGAGCCAAAAGCACCTATCCCAAACATTCAGTCTACCATCAGTACGTTTCTGCCTCTGCATAATGGAAAATTGTGTGTGAAAAACAAATCTTCCCTGATTTTCCAGTCAGAAACTACGAAAAATGTGCAGCCAGAAATGCACGCCAACGAGCCAGTCTTCAAGATGCAGGAGGCAGGAAAGAGATGGAGCAAAGAGACTGAAAATAAATATAGCCAGGAACATTTTCACTCCGTCAGGAAAACTCTCTCCTATCTGCTAAATAAAACTAGAGACACTTCACAAAAAAGGAACGGACCCAAAAATCCCCAAGATTTCTTCTTTTCCTACTCACATGCGATAAAAAAGGGTCCTCAAGCAACATCATTTATTGTAGGAGGCAAAAAAAAAGTTGCATTTTTTTAATTGTATGGGGTTTAATTGTATTTTATTTTAAAATAACCTGGCCGGATACTCACGGTGCTGTAGACAGCGGAGACGGTGGGAGTGAAGATCCGATCCTCCAGGGGCTGCTGGACAGGACCTCGGGGGATTCTGCAACACAGCGAGTTAAGGACAGCACCGGCACGTTTTGGGTGACACCCGGGGCCAACGGGACGTCCATCGGCGCAGACACACAGACATCGCCAGGCACTCACACTGCTGCGATCCCTCACGGGTTCCCAAAAACGGAGCAGAGCGTGGCTCTTCCAAAGGCGGATGGCACCGGCAAACACGGCGGGAGAAACCAAACGCGCACAAACCGCCGACCAAACCCTTCGTCCAGCAAGGGCATCCCCCACCTCTTTTTTTTTTAAATTATTTTTTAAAGAGTAAGGGAAAAACAAGCCGAAGCCACAAGCCCTTCGCATTCAGCGAGACAAACCCCGCGGATCAGCAGGGCGTTCTCGGACAAAGGCAGCGCCTGTTTTGCAAACCACGCAGGAATCGGGGCAGAATTGTTTCCTTGTTTGCACCCAGTAACTCCTCTCCTCAGCCACCCACCCGAATCCCTCCTAAAAGGGGCTGGCGGAGAGATTTTTAAGTTCTGATGATTTGCTGCAGGGTTGTTGAGAGGCAAATCGCAATCGTTTTCTTGAACTGGAAAGGTATTGGGGGAACACGAGGAAAAATAAAAAGGAAAAAGACTGTGCAGCAAATAAGCCAGAATCATGAAATAAAGAATTAATAACTAAACAAATACATAATTTTTGCCGAATAAAACAAAGGGATGCAGGTATTTAACATAAAAAAGCCTCCTGACTTAGCTCACACCTTGTGGCCTTAGGGCTACTCAACACCCGACGTTCACCATCGTGAAAAAGCCAGGCTTAACTTGCCAAAAGATTTCCCACTAAAGCCATGTTCAGATTTCGCCTTTTTGCTGTTTACACTCCACACGTCAAAGCCTCCTGGAAAACGAGCACAGTCTGGTTGATTTAAGTTTCTTACGCACAAGCCAGCAACGCAAACCTCACGCGTTAACGTGACAGCGGATGCTTAAAAAATAGAAATAAAGTCATGAAAACACCTCCTGGGTTTTGTTCAAATGTGAAAAAAATCCCACTTTTAAGTTCAATTTTCAAGCAAACCTCCCAGGTTCAGCCTTGCAAGAGCCCGAGTTTGAGCTGTGAAGAAACGCTGCGGCCCAAACCCTGGTAGTGGCAGGAGAGACGACAAAACTTGACAGCGACCTGAGCTCCACTGCCCTCCCTGTTCCCCTTCCCGGCTGAGAAATTCCTCTAAAACCTCCCAGTTTTGTTCGATACTCGCTTTTGGAACGCCAGACGTGCTAAAAACCCTGCATTACAGGATTACGCGTGGAAAAGACCAGCCCTGACCTTCCCAACACCTCTGCATGCAAGCGACGTCCCCGGTAAAGCCTGGCGGGTGTAAAACCCAATGTCCACAGCCGGCTCTGGATTGGGAGAACCGAGACCACGATCTGGCACCGCTGGGTCCCAAAACGGGGCTCACTCAGCCTAAATCTCTACTTTTTTCATTTTCAAATGAGTACAAGAATTTATCTTCAAGGTCCAACGCTTGTCTTCAATTTGCAGCTCACACATAAGTGGTATCATTTGATAAAATAAAAGGTTTTTAACACCAAATGGGATGTAAAATCCTGACTTCGGCGAAGCAACGGGAACATTTGCCACAGACTTCAATGAAGCCCAGGGGCCTCTCCCAGCTTTCACTCAGGGATCTTATGTTCACTCCTGAGTTTCAGAAAACACCGACGAAAGCCAACATTTGGGAGAGGAGGGTTAGAAACACAACCCCCCAAGTTTTCTGCACGCCACCACAGCACCCTCTCCTCACACCCAGCTCCATCTCCTGCTGATGAAGGACAGGACGGAGGCAGGGTTTTAATCTCTTTTGTCACAGCTAAGACACTGAATCTCGAGGCAGTTCTGACAATGAACTGAAGCAATCAAAAGGCATCATTCCCAGGTTTGGAGAAAAGGGTTTCACCCTCGAGAAGGTTGGGATTTAATTTCTTATTTTAGAACTTATATAAGCCAGGAGAAAATAATCTGCTTTGAGCAGAGCAACCTCTCGTTTTGCACCCAGGAGGAGCTACCAAGAAGAACGAGTGGTTCAGAGGGATTTTCAGAGTTTGGGGTTGCCATTTAAGATCTCTCCCAGAAGCGATGATTCCCATCAGATTAAAAAGAAATCTTTTAAGTCCTTTTTGCCAAAGGACTTGACCTGGACAGCAGACTGACAGGGTCAAAAATGCTTTAAATTCCAGTAAGCCTTAATGAGATATAATGGTTGGCGAAAGCGATTATTTAACCTGTGGCATCTCTAGGCCGCTGGGAAGGTCCTTGATCCCTGCAAGCCTCCGGGAGCTTGGTTCTGCTCCCCGGTAGAGCCCTCCCTACCAAAGGAGCCCATCCGGGAGTAACACTCACCATTACTTCAGGAGAAACAAGCCCAGGCAACTGCAAAAGTTCATCAGCAGGCTCTTGCTAATGAGGTTTTTTTTCCTAGAAGCGGGTTAAGAGTGACAGCATGGGAGGCTACACCATGTGAAGGGGTCATGGCAGGACTGTGGGCACCAAAACCTCCTCCAGCCGCAGCATCGCATCCGCCTCCACACCAAACGTCCACCAGGGCACTCGGCATCTTTCTCTACGCAGAGATTTGGGTCCCATCGAGAGCCACACAACCCAAGATGCGGTGCAAACTGCAGGAACGCTGCCCTCCCGCTGCTCTCACCGCACACAGCAAAGTTCAAGCGTTAAAGTCTAACCCAGGCTGGCTCCACTGCAGCACTTAATTAACCACGGCGCAGAGAAAACGAGGATACGCTGAATAATTCAGGCAGCCCTTTCATGTTACTATTCTGGCGTGCCTAGATCCAATTCGGGAGGATCCTCCGCCTTCCCACCTCCTCCTCCTGCCCCCCCATATCCCCGCCACCCACGTCACCCTCGTCAGCTGCACCCACTCAATGGTTTGCACAGCCACACTCCAAAACCATCCCGGAGGGTGGGAAGGGTGGAAAAGCAAAGCCAAAGCCAAACCTCACAGCGTTTGCAGAGATCCTTGATGAAAAGACGAGGCGGGCAGTGAAGCAGAAGAGCAGGAGCAAGGGGAACCTCTTAAATCCCATCCGCAGACGGTGGCTTAGTAACGCTTTGCACGCCAGAGCCGGGCTGAGCGACTCCCTACGGCTCTGCCTCCTCCACTGCGCCAAAAACCAGGAGAAGGATGGCAGCCGGCGGCGAGCACCGGCTCCAGATTCCCTTCATCGCTGTTCAGGGCTCATTAACTCATGTAATATATGTATTTCAAAATCCACGTACGCGAGGTACTTCTGGCAGATTAATACAAGCAGGCGCAGATGCAGCGGGAGTCCCACCCAGTCCCCATCTGGCTGCAGCAGCGACCGCGAGCCGGGGAATTTTAGGAGCTATTAAAGAGCCGGTGGGAGAAGGCAGGCAAAGATAGCGACGGCGGCTGGAAACGAAACCGAATTTTCCTTGAAACCAAAAGTCCCCACAAGAGGAGGAGGATCTCTATTGAACAGCCAGCCACAGCCACGCGCTGAGGAGAGGGAAAACGCACGACTTCCCTGTAAAGCGATTAAAGAAGAAAAAATCCAGAGCAGAGCTGCCCATCGGCTGGAGCTGAGGCACTGACAAACGCAGAGTTAAATACCAGTCAGGAGGAATTTCTTGCAGAAATTTCCCCCTTGTATCACACCCGTCTGTTTGCTCTTATCACGCTACAAACCCCACATACTGCAAGATTGTTGTGTGCTTTTACAGCAATGAACAACCTGGAAACACGCAGTGAAAGGAGCTCTCACAGCAAGAATTTGCACAGGTTTTTCTGCTCCGTTCCTGCATCCAAGATTGGAGGAGGAAAGAAAAACCACTACTACGTTTTCTTCCAAAACGGATTCATTTCCCCTCAAACGATGCTCCTCACCTAAGCTCATCTCCAGCAACCAGCAACCATTTTATCCTGAGCATGCACCGACGGCCTCTTTCTTCGCTTCCAGCTGAGGGTAACGAGCAAGCACCTTCTCACAGGAATAAAAATACCTGCGGGTACCCACGGGCGCGTATGCAAACGAGTTACACCAAAAACCCCATTAAAGAGCGAACGGTTTTCACCCCTGCACAGAAACGGAGCGAGTCTCCCACCAGCCCTCCCCAGGGTTATATAATCCCCATGCGTGTCCCCGCTTGTACCGAAACTGTGCATTAAATGCCCGAAAAAATACCAGATAAAACCATCAAGTGAGATTACACAAGGGCAAGAAACCACATCAAAACCAAGCGCTTCTCTCAGCCTTTTGGTGAAAGGAATTTTTAGAAACCCTTCGACCAGGGAGGTATTCGGTAGCAGAGAGCTGTGAAAAGAGCGCGTTTCTCCTCTGCAGCCTCCTCTCTCTTTAACGCGCAATTAAAATGCGGGAGGCACACACCCCAACAGCAGAATCACCCAATTTAGCAGGTCCACAAACCGCGAGCGCTCACTTAAGAGGTCAGAAGGGAGAAGTCACGCCAGTGGCAGCAGCTTGCCCAAACTTCCCCGGCATCCCCCCGTCCCTCACAGCACCCCAATCCTCCGCTCCAGGGGCGAAGCCTTTTGCTGGACACGCTGGGCCCTACCTGGCTGCGAGCTCCCGCGGAGCTTCGTTAGCGAGCGGGCTCACACGCTGGGTTTTCTCCCTTCATCTGCAGGCGGCGAAGCCCACGGCCGCATCCGTGCCACCCGGGGATGGCTTCCCAGCTGCTGCCTCCTCTCTCCCTCGCAGCGCGCTCGTGGTCTTAAAGCGGCAGTGCAAGGGGGGTCTCAGCGATACCTCTGGGGGGACTGTACCAAGCGCATCCTCTGCTGCACAAATTTTTCTGCTGTGCACGCATCGGAGAAGGGGAAGGAGGCAGCATCACGCTCCTCTGCAAGCTTCTAGAGGGTAAATCAAAGCAGGCTTACAAAAGCAAGCATAAGGGATAAACTCACCTACAGCACACGCTGTGTTTTAGAAATCTGCATTGCAACAGATAAGAGCTTGGAAAGTTTCGATGGTTCCTATCAGAAGGGGAATTAAATCGCAGCGCAAACTCCTCAGCAAGAAATTTTGCAACTTGTTTCCCTCAGCTTTCCGCTGGGTACCCCCAAACACAGCATCACAAACCCATCTCTATAGCAAGTTCTTTGCGCATCAATTTTCCTCTCCAAATAAATTCCTCCTTAGACAGGCCACAAACCACTCCAAATTTAGGAAAATGAGGATTAACGTTGCCCATGCGACCATAACTCAACCCCCCAGTG